TGCTCTTGAGTGAGTCTCAACGCATCTGACCCCACTGGCAAGCATTCATGTATGTCAGGGCCATATGTTGGTTTATGTGTCAAGTCAAGTCAAGTCGATTTGTACAGCACATTTCAGGAGAAGGCGTTTTTAAGTGCTTTACATGGTAAACTTATATAGCTAGTTCTAAAACATGCAACAGACAAATGTCTTCATCAAAATCACCAATAATAATCATAATCAAATATACACTTCCAATTATTAATCAAAGACAACTCTAAAGGTGGATTTTTAGATTTAAAATAAAGTTAGAGTTTTGGCTCTTTTGCAGTTTTCTGGAAGCTTGTTCCAGATTTCTGGTGCACAAACAATGAATGCAGCTTCTCCATGTTTGGTTCTGACTCTGGAGAAGCAGTGGTCAGTCAACCAATTCATCTGAGTCCAACCGGAGCCCAAACTGGTTGCTAGTGTTATTTTGTGGGAGGTAATTGCTTTTCTTAAAAAACTGGGATGACAAATGGCAGTAGCCAGAACTGGGTATTTGGCAAAAATGGATAAACAAAAAAGGTTCCTGTCAGCTTTGTTTTCTTCCTGGTGTCAAGGCAGTAGGAATGCAACAGGGTCGTGTTGAACAAAGAGGATTATGGAGACAAAACAACGCTGACAAGTCTGATATTTGAGGACACGTCCAGGGAGATGCGAAAAAGATCAGAGTCAAGCCATTCGTTTCAAAGAGGTTTATTCTCTACACTATGGTGACATTATAAAAGCCAACAGAAAAACAGAGAGAGAGAGAGAGAGAAAGTGAGATTTACCTGCAGTCTCAAAAGCTGACACTTGGCAGGATAACGCTTCTGAAAGTGGCACCTGTCAGGGGCAGACTGGATAAAGCCTCCTCTCAGCAGGAGGGATTGTGTTTTGGTAAAACGAGAGAAAAAAAAAAGTACATGAATTAGCATGAGGGAAACAGTAATTGTGGATAGATTGCTCTACTTGCTGAAACAGACGGCAATTAAACTTCCTCTCTTGGTCCTCAAAAGTCAAACTGCCTTCTGTTCGAGAAATTACAATTACAAAGAAGCTGCACTCACTTAATTGATTAAAAAAAGACAGGGTGAGATGAAAGGGAGTTTTAATTTTTTTGTTGAGAGAAAAGTGTCAAACAAATAGTCAGTTTGATGTCCTGAATTGGAAAAACCTCAATTATCACTTAGACCCTAGCTACTGTACTCCAGCTTCTTTTTTTTAAATCCGTCTACATTATCTGAGGATTTCTAATCAAAAACACTGTTTCTAACTTAGTCATTATATTTAGTGAGTTTTCAAGTCCCTCTACCATCTCGTTCTCAAAAAAGTGACCAGTGGCTACTCTAGCACTGGTTTTTATCTCCATTATCACTAAAACATATTCTAGATTTTCAGAGGTTCTGATATATATGGTTGAAACCAAATACTTACATTCACAGAGTAAAAAGACACTTTTTTCCTTGTTGTCTGAAGTTAAATCTGACCAAATGTGGTCAAAAGGAATGAGCCAGAACTCCAGCAAACTATTGTGAGAAACTTGTGGAAGGAAGGCCAAAAGTTTTGATTCAAGTCATAAAGCTTAAAAGACAGTTATCCCTGATACTGACCAAATGTATACAAACTTTTGAATTCAAAGAAAGTTACAAAAAATATCAAAAAATTGTTCCTGGGTAATTTTAACTGGCCTAAAACAAGACAGCTTTGCTACAAAGGTCTTCTTATTTGGTGCATGTCTGGTTGCAACATTGCATCATTATTCAGACTCCTGGAAGTTTTAGGTTTAAGGTAGTAATCTTTGATTGTTAACAACTAGTTTCCCCTAAATCCAAGTAATATCACCCTTTTGAGCTCAGTCAGGGGAACATAATACCTAGGATGATCATGTTGTCCCTTAAAGGCTTGAAGCTCATCAACAAAGATGGATTTTCAAAATAATAGTGGAAGCATTACAACAAGAATTTCCACTTTAGAAACTAGATTTAGAAATCCTTTTTCCCCTCTAACTTTTATTTGAGTGAGGACAGAAGATGAAAACAAAGACATTTTACATTTTGTCAAATATCTGTATTAATAAACCCTTAATCATAAACTGTACTTATGCACTTTGTGCAGCATACATAACTCTATTACATATGCCACTTCTATGTTGGATTTCACATTGCACAAGTAGCCTTTCCAATCAATAAACCTGTGCCTTCTGCCACCTAATATTAACTTCAACATTTCATATCACAACCAAGTCAAAATTATAGCTTTGTGCTTTCACTATCACTGTATCTGCCACACTATCTTTGTGTAAAATATGTCGTTGGATGCTTTTTATATTACGGTTGACTCACATTTTCTTTGCCAATCCTTACATCATACAAATAGTTTCATTGTTCAAAGTGTTGGCCAACATCAATTCAGAACCGCCTGCTAATGATGAAAAACAAAGCCAAAGTACAGTGGTGGGTTAAAATTGTGTTCACTTAGTTGTGTGCTATCGGTCAAAATAAATGTGAAGATGATATCCGTGCTCAGGCAGGCAGCAACCAAATGGCAAAGAACAAAGCAAGGATGAAAAGGATTTATGTTAAACGTTTGGTGAAGAAGATGGAACGGCTCCAGCTGTACTGAGCCACCAGTCAATGTTTGTGTTTTTGTGGCAAAACAGAGACACAGAACATACAACAAAACACACATAACTCATATTGAGGCGGAACCTTGATTTTTTTTTTTTAATTGAGGGAAGAAGAAAGTCTGATAAAACCCCAAGCACAAGGAGAGAACATGCAAATTTCATTTAGAAAGGCAAATCCAAGGCCTTACAAGCAAAAATGCTAAAACTATACCAGCATCCAAGCATTTTATTGCTACATTTATGCACAATGGGTTACTGATCACTGTATTAGCTGAAACCAAGCACATAAAATGAGCAATCCACAGTCTCTGGACTGAGTATAACCCTCTCACACTGAGAGAACCACATAGGTTTCCCCTGTGAATTTGGTCCCCATTGCTGGAGACAATGGCACACACCTCCATATTGCACATTAGCCAGCTTTTATTATGTGTCCTGTCCAGTGGTGTAGTCAGTTGTTAGTTGCAACACAGATATAGAATTTTGTGTGCATTTTTCAATCTTCTTGTACTCGCTGAGAAAATAGAAGCATCATGTTTGTCTTTACACAGAAACGAGGATATACAAAGTAACCGCAATCCAGATGAATTTAAACCATAAGGCAAACTTGGAGATGACAATGCGGTTTAACCTGCATATTATGTTTCAATCGGTAGTCTGACCAAAAATGTCAAAGTTTGAAAGAGAATGACTCTCATAAAAAATAATGTCAAGGACACCTTATAATCAATAATGTTAAGGTTTTAAATCCCATACATTTAATTCAACTGTGCATACCTTAGAATGTACAAAAAAAGAACAAAACTTCTGAAAGTAAAAACTTGGCAGCAGAAATTATTTATAGGCTACAATATCTATTAAAGATGCTGGTACTCATACTAACCATGCATATTGCCCAAAGCGTGAGCCCCTCCTGTTTAAAAGATGAAAATGAAAAAGTAATATTATTTGAAAAATGTATGATACATTTCATCCACAACTTATGCCTTCCAAGAATGAGGTCATCTTTTACTGACTTATCTATTCACTTAAGAGTCCATATATTATTATTAGCATGCAGGATGACGAAAAGCAGCAAAATTCTCACATCAAAGAAGCTGAAGGCAGCAAAAAGATCTATTTCTAAAAAGACTTGAATTATTATTTAAATCAAATTGGGCACAGTTCATATCCTGCGATTACACTTCTTGAGAAACTATCTTTGCACTCTTATGATGAACCAATATAGCCTCAATAATATCCTCTATGCTGCAACAATTTAAGCAATCACTGGCAGTTGAGCAGAAAACATATGTGTATAACTTTGACATTTTGTACAGACAGAACTTTGACATTGCTTTTTGAGCATTTGATGTCAGAGACTAAGACCCCCTTGTAAGTGTTACTGTCACCAGAAAACTCCACAGATTCTCTTCAAGATTCATGTGTTAAAAATGAGATGGCCTTGCAAAAAGTTTAATATTAAGTCTATCTATTTCTATGTTAATTTTGTCATATTGTTTTGAACTTAATCCTGTTAAAAACCACAAGGCAGCCCCTTTTCAGTTTACTTAAAAAGTTCACTTTGCGTTAAAATGTATTTATATATTTCAGACTTATTTATTATGGGTGTTGTTTATAATATCCCCCTGTGAGATGTCTAAGTAAAGGATCTGTAAGGCAGAGTGAAATAAGTACATATTCATTAAGTAATCCAAAATTTTCAGATTAAGCAAGCCAAAATTTAGAGATGCATACTGGTCGAAGTCTCTAAGTAAAAAAATAACACCCCGAAACTACTGATATTCTGTCTCTTTGTAGTGGTGCAGACAGCACATGAACAGCATCCTATATTTGGGATCATTTATACTAACTTGTGTACACACATAAAAAAACTTGAAACTGATCTTTGATGGAACCCATCTCCATATGAAAGTGCACGACCCTGCAAAGGGTCTCAGTTTAGGTGTGTTAATGAGGCATAAAGATATAACAGGTTTTCAGATCCTATAGTAACTATGAGGTATTTGCATATAACCTAAACTACTGTTGAATTTAGATTAAACATTCTGAAATTCTTTTCAATATTGCAATTGGCCAGCGGTTTGTAAACCTTTTGTCCCATTGGCCAAAATCCTCAAGTTAAAAGTACTTATAAGCCATGCATTTTGTTACTTTGTTGATTTTTTTTAAACGAATGGCTAATAATGAAGACATCTTTCTATCTGTCTCTGTTTCTCTCAAACCAAAACAGAAAAGGAGAGCCAGGTTGTCCTCCCCCCCATCTCCTCCACCCCCTCCGTTCTCCCGGGATGGTGTGGTCCAGAAAGCGCCTCTGCCTCCCACCTCTCCCCGGCTTCAGTGAATCAGCTGACGAATGGTATCTCCCTCCTCTCCCGGATGGATCGCTCCGCTGAGCCCGGCCAGCCCGAGCGCTAGCTGACACTGTGGGGTTGCTCGCACCGCTTGCTCTCCTCCTGTTGGATGTCAGACGGACGTAGCCTGAAGTCAAAGCTTTCAAAACAAACAAACAAACAAACATACACGACGCTATTTATTTCCCACCGCGTCTTTCGGATAGGAAGCGACCCGCTTCCCCTCACCATGGCTTCCAACTTCAACGACATAGTGAAGCAGGGGTACGTGAGGATACGGAGTAAGAAACTGGGGGTGAGTAGCCACTGTTGCACTTGCTGTCTACCGCGGGCGGAGAAGGAGGCGGAAGGAGAGCAGCGCCGTTCTTATGGCACTCGAGGGCGGCTGGATTAAGAAACAGCTCTTAATTGCTCCATAGCAGCGGTCCTGTAGTGGGCTCCTCCAGCGGAACAGTTAAGTTTCTTTGGGTGCTGCTTGGTCAATAAAGACATACTGTGGAAATGACTGACAGCTGCTGTCATGTGTTTGTGAAAAAAAAAAAAAATGTTTGCAGCTTTTTCTGTTTAGAACTTTTGTTTTGTTGGGGAAAGTCAAAGTTTACTTATTTCATCCAAAAACTACACTTCATAGTAGAGCTTTGGAAATGTATATATCTTCACAGATTAACTGTGCACTTTCTGTATCAAAGAATTACTGCCTGATTCAGAGTGATAGCAGCTCATCGGTGCCTTGGTAATGGACTCGCACTGACATCCAGCAAGGAGGAGAGAGAGAGAGAGAGAAAATGCCCTAAATGCCTAAATTGAAATGAATGATATAGTTCAATCACAAGCACCCCATTGTCTGACTCATAAAGCCATCTGCTTTTGTTCATACTTCCAGCTCATTATGCCTGCAGAGCGGTCACACTTCCTCTCCGCTGATGAAGTGTGATGACGGAGGCTAATGATGTCTTCGCTCTCACACCATCACCTGGCTTCATCAACAGTATTTTCACTTTTGTAGCAGCTTCCAATGCTAACTTAGAGTAATCATTGTTAGCAAAGATTAACCTCTAATCTATGTTGAAGAAATTACATGAAGGAAGTAGATCATACACCCATGTAAAAAAAACAAACAAGAAAACAAAAAAAAAAAAAAAAAAAAAACAGCGAGGTTTTGGCGACATGTAAAGAAGATGGTAGAAGAATAAAAGCTGTGCAACAGCTAAAAAATGCCATGCCCATAATGAAATATTGAAGTGGCAGCATCAAGCTCTGGGAACACTTTTTCTGATATGGAGCTTGACTTTTAATCAAGCCAAATTAGATTATGAACCATTCTAAATAAAAGTCAATTTTGACCAAAAACCTTTAGGTCTCATGTATAAAGTGTTGAACTGGTCAAGCCAGAAGATCTTTAGGGTGACAGAGACTGTGGACAAAGCATCACAATATGATAGAATTGGAAAATATTTTCAAGGCAGAGCAGGTAAATATTTCGAAGTCCGAACGAGGGGTGCTGACAGACTCCTACCAGAGAAGACAGAATGCATAAATTGAGCTCAATAGTTGTTCAAGAAAGTGCAATTTGAATGGTGTGCACACTTTTGCAACCAACTTATTGCAGGTGTTTGCTTTTCCTATATTGTCTTCTTTGAGATCTGCTTGTTTCTCAACTCATTAAAGGTTGCGCTGGTGTAAGCATGAAAAGGTTTTTGAAAGAATTTGTAATGCTTTCAATTTTTAATGCTACAAAACCTGGGTATTTTAACTGGGGTGTCCATACTTTTAAAGTCACTGCATATGAAGGTTTTGAACAATTACAGTCACTGCTGAGGCTAATTTCGTCAAACCATCTTTAACAGGAGACACGGATTGTGTTTGATTGCGAGGAGGAACACAAAGAAATATAGCAGTGCCATTCCTCCATATGTTTCTGGGCATTACAAGTCAGCTGGGTGTAAAAAGGGTGCATTTGGGCTTTTTCACAATTTTATTTCCAGCTATCGTCTAAGAGCTGCTAAACATTCTTTTAAGTCTTTTTTTCATGAGGAAGTGCCAGAGATACCACCATTTTCGTCCCATTAATAATAATAGCAACTTCTCAAGCCTGAGAAGCTGACAGACATCCCTCTAAACTTTTTTTCTTCTCTTACAAAATAGACTAATTTGTTTTGTTTTGAAAAGCAAAGATTGTCCGTAGCTCAAAAATAAACTGTGCAGCTCGCCTCACTTACGACAAACCTGAAAAATTACAGGAAGGAAGATGCAAGTGACAACTCAAGCAGATAGTCTGACTAGTTAATAATTTCTTTGTATACATGAATCACTCTCTTTAGAAGATGTGTTATTTTTTGTGCAATGAGTATTTGAATAACACCCCATAAATTTAGTGATTGCTTCTACATTTTTCTAATACTATATGAAAAACCTCATGGTGGCAATTAGAACCAGAATATTAGAAGTAGAGGGAATATTTTTCTGTTTCAAATAGAAACATATGTAAATGAATACTGCAATTTTGCAGATTTTTTTTCCCCCTAAGTGCTCTCAGCAGCCCACAAATACCCAAAGAGTTTAGTTGTCAACATGCGAACCAGCTTGGATCCACTCAAGTCAGTTTATTTGCTTTTTTGCATAAGCTATTTTAACCGTGGATGGCCTATGACTTTCCAAGGCAAGCGAGGAGCCGTGTTGGCTGTGCTTGAGGTGTGGATGCCATATCGCTGCCAGCTCTGCATCTCATCCCTGCTGTTTGCTGAGGAAAAAACTGTTTGTGTCCTGATCGCCCACTCCCTTCAGCCCCTCCACCGCTTGCTGCTGTTTCATCATAGAAAAAGTCATGCTGCGATAGCCTCGGAAGACCCCAGTGTGGGCAGGCTGAAAGGATTTATCTTTACACGGTAGGGTTAGTTATTCCAGCATGATTAACATTCTGATTCAGACAAAATCAAGTGATAACTGGGTAGTTTTAGGCATCTGTGCGCTGAAATTGGTATGCAACATTTTCTCTCCGAAGGGGGAAAATATTATATAAAATTAAGGTGTTAAATTGGATATATGAAAATCTTCATGTGTGGCACTTATAGATACATATAGGATTACTAGACTATAATGTGGTGTGGGAGATGATTCACAACCGGCTTAAAGGAACAGACAAACTGTTCCTTTATGTTTTTGTTTTGGAGTTTATTTTCAATGTAAATCTAAGCATTGCTTTAAATTCATCATATTTTTCTTAATTATGCATGTTTTTTTGTTAATTTCACAGCTCAGTGATGTTCAAGGGTGTGAAGTGAGTCATCCTGTTCCTCATATTCTATATACAGAGATTCAGACCAGAAGGTTTAATTTATACTTTCAAATATAGCAACATGCACAGAGATGTGACGACTTCTTTGCTGTTTGTCTTGAAGCTGTCAATAGTATTTTTTTTTCTTAAAGTGGAGCCTGTACTCCACTTTAAGTAAGTACATAAGTACTTACATTGTACTTATGTTCTTCATATACAAACATGAAGAACACTATATATAAATGTAAGCATTATCTTTAATCACACCTATTTATTTTAGAAAAAAAAAAGAAATCCCAACGAAAAGCTTTGGGATCCTAACAGATTTGCGCTGTCAGATAACTTTCACCAAGAAGTTAGTTAGCTTGTTTTGACTGCCTTATTCAGCAGCAGATAAAGGCCATGCGATGTAAATATCAAAGCTTTATGAATGCTGTGACTCACACCATGTCCTGACAATCAGAGGCCATGGGGGACTCTAAGCAGCGTCAGAGTCCTTGCATAATAAAAATTCATGTCCACAATGCAAGAGAGCTGCTTAGAAAGAAAGCGAAGTGTTTTTAGCCCGTTGATCTTCTGTTCATGATGTATTTTAGTGGCTGTTAACAGGAACAGCGGAGATCAACTTGATGTCTTCCCAGAAAATTCTGCAGATGGCATTACTAAAAAAAATTTGTTGTATTAAAAACGACATGTACCCATGAAAGAAACGCAGGAGTTTGTAAATGATGATTTAAACTATTCTTTTGAGTTTTATAAAGCCTTTTGAAACGAGTTTTAGTTGAGCGCTTGTCTTTGCACAGACACTCATTTTTGTCTCCAAAGTTTAGCTCGACACCTAACAAATGAAGTGTGGGAGGTTATTAAAATTTGTCATCGCCGCTTCCCTTTCTCTGTTTGTCATTTTTAAACACACACACAAACAAATTATGTCGTGAAAAAAGCCCAAAACAATCCCATGTGGAGAAATATAAAATGGCGCCCATATCAACTCCAATACAATAATTTAAAGTATAAACTTTAATTTTTTTAGGTTGATTGGAGTGCCAAGGAGCATTTAATTAAAAATCTATGACTTCTGGTTTCCATGATAACAAGTATGTAGTGACATGAATCCCCTGTTCAAAATAAGTAAGACAAGAAAACATTGAAGTAAGGGTAAATTTTGTCTAGAAAATTTACCAGCTGATTTACCAAGAAATCAGCTGGTGATTAGAATTGAGCAGTTTTCATCGTGACTGACATGATTTTCAAAAATCACTGGATGGATTATACTGAGGAGCTGTGAAGTGTCGCTAACCGCAACATTATCTTCATTGAAAAAATGAAACATTGGGTGCAATTCTCCAGATAAAAACAATGTCTCGCTTTAAAAAGGTCTACAAATAATTACTTACATTGTACTTATTTCTTGATTTTTAAAAAATACAAAAAAAAAAACAATGTATCTTTAAACTTAAATGGATATAAAAATAGGCAAAGTCAATTTGACCACATCGAGCATGGTGATGGCTGATGGGTAAAAACTGCTTCTCAGTCTGTTGGTTCTGGTCTTTATGCAGCTGAAACGTCTGCCCAAAGGCAGGCATTCAAGCAGTGCATGTCCTGGGTGCGATGTGTCTTGGAGAATTTTCCTAAAACAGTGACAACTATTATGTTCTGGTAGTGTTGGCAGATGATAGCTGATTATCCCCTGGGTGACGATATGTGAAGGAAATTGTTGCAACGAGAAAAAAAGTCAAAAGTTATCGATTTTTAGTGCTAGCAAAGTACAAGCAGGAAAGGTGTAGGGAGCTATTTAAAAAGGAAACTTTTTCCCTTTACCAAAGCATGCTCATTTTATTCATTATGTCCGCTACAACAGAGTGAGATTTTGGCGTCTGCCTATTACGGTATTTTACTTGTTCTTCATTTATTTCTTTCCCAGTTTTCCTCATTTCCTTCCTCACTTTTAAGGTTTTGAATAATCAGGAAAGAAAGATGTCATCTAAAGCCTACTTAGATTTAATGATGTTAACATA